TGCTTATGAAGAGCTCTAACTCGAAAATTATTTATATAATTTGATTTCTAATTATCTCTATGGTTGAAATTTGATCAACATTCTTTCTATTTTTAATCATTTAAAAAATATTAATTTTATTTTAAATTTAATTTTCTTATAATATTTTAACAATTCTTAAATGCGTATAGTAATAAACATGAATACAACGAATCGACTACTGAGGGAGATAAATCAAGAAATATATTGTCTGATGTATTTAGTGAATACAGAATAAAGAATAGTTGTCACATTCACAAATAAAATAAATATTATTATTTTTATTAATAATATGTATTAAAAAAAAACCCTAATTAATTTTCTCTACGTGTTTACTTTCCTTCTCCGAATATAACAGATGATAAGAATATTATAAAACAATTATAAATCTTTTCAAAAATATAGATATTGCATTCATTTATAACATGCTTTAAATCGATATGTGACTATAGAAAATATTACTAATAAAATTTTTTTTACAGTGACAGGTAATAATAATAATTAAATTGATTATAAAGTGTACCAATACATATATTTATTTTATTATTTTATTTAATTTAATGAAAAAAATATATATATACTATAAGGTTTTAACTTTTATATCGTTAATATCGAAATAGTGTTCGTTTTGCTATGTCGTAATATTACCTATAAACTGAATCAAAGAAAAAAAAAAAGTAGAAATGTCATTGCTAAAGTGGCACGATTTTGTTATTTTTGGTTTTAGAACTAAATTTTTAAACCCATTTCATCTATTATATTTCAGATTTATATTTCTATTAAAATAAAATTTTTTACTTAAAGATTTTAATTTATAAAAAATAGATTTTAAAATACCTTTTAGGTATATCAATGTGTAGTAAAATTAAGATTATAGTTAAAAATTATTTTGAATTAAAAATAAATAAATAAACCTTTATTTATTTATGAAAATATCAGTTCTTTTGCTTTGATCAGTTTATAAATAGATATGGGTTAATTTAAACAAAAGCATTTTATATTATCCAATGCCGTAATTATATTCTTAAGCATTTCATATAAACATACAACATAGATTCAAAATATACTTACGAATAAAGATATTTGTTGATGAAAAGAAATATTAATAAATTATTATAAAATAAAAATATAGCATATAAATACAAGACTATTGTGTTATATTGTTATATATCGTATTATATATATTTATAGTATAGATTATTTATTAAAGAATTTTAGATTTATCTAGACAATAATTTTGATAAGTAAATCAGATACATAGTTAATGCATCATCCGATTTTCTTATCAAAGTATATATAAAGGATGCTCCATAAGAACAGTGTTTTTGAATCTTATGTAATTTAAATAATTTTAACTATTCTATACATATTTATATAATGCAGTAAATTTATTAAAAATCTCTATGTATTAGATTGATTGCAAGTGTTTTTACAATTTTTATTTTTATCATATCCAATTATTCAATATGTAAATCAAAAAAATATTATTACATTATTATTAAGATTTAAATTATGGACTTTATGTAAAATTATTCAAATTTACATATTATTTTGAAATATGTATATACTGAATATATTTAATTATAAAAAAACACTCTTAAAATCTTATTTTATTTAGTTGCACACGAGCGATTTTTTTTAAATTAATGCAGTAAAATCCAATTTTACAGTTTAGAAATGATTCGTTTTATGGAAAATTAACGAGAATAATAAAGTAGTAAGTGATGTAAATACCTTGAAAATAAACGTTTGAGTTCATAATAATGTATATTATGAAAATATATTATAGACTGCGTACTAAGTACTAAAACCTTCACTTTATTAACATATGTATTATGTAAATTATTTGTTTATTTATGTATATTTACTAATATTTGTAACGTAGGTCTTTATAAGTCTATAAAGATTTAAATACATCTTTATATAATACAAATATATATTATTCTAAAGATGCATTATATATAACGTGTTATAANCCGAGTACAGTGGGAGTGATTTCTTCGAAATATTAGATGTAATAAAGACAGACATTTTTCCAGTTCGATGAGAGTGACTGAAAAGTTGTAAATTTTCGAAATTTCCGTGGACAACACCTGCTCCTAAAACGAATTAGAAAACAAACGACGGACAATCTATTAAGTTTAACATATTTAGACTTTTACAGCAGTGGTGAGAAACGTTTAAAATTTACAAAAACCCTGTCGCATCTTTTGACATTTGACATTGACCGGTATGGGCACCCTCGGAATTTGGCAGCCCGCGTGCATGTACACACTGCATACCTAGCAGGACCGTCTCTGATTCCACTCTTAGGGCGCTATTTGACTAAGTGGTTAAGATTTAAAGAGTTAAGAATATTTTATGTTACTTTTATGTACAGTACGTTTCATTACAAAGCTATATTTAATTATAATTTTCTTTAAAAGTATATTCATACAATTGAAGAATGTTTTGTACCAGGTATGTACCAGGTATGAAGAATGTTTTGTACCAGTATGTACCAGGTATGAAGAATGTTTTATACCAGTATGTACCAGAAATTGAAGAATGTTTTGTACCAGGTATGCACCACACATTTTATTTCACCGAGTAAGTTTTTATAATTTTATTTTTAATTTTAGCCCTTATATCGTGGCTAGCGATTCGGAATGGTATTGCGATTATGAAAATTTATTTTTAAAAAGTTTTGGCTCGAGATCATATAATGAAAAAGAAAACATTATTAAAAGAGAAAGACCAATGCTTAAGTTATATATAAACGATTCAATAAAAAAATTTGTTCGACATTTTCACGATAAAATGGCTCTGTAAATGCAAAAATAGTTTTATTGGCTCGCCTACTATTTTCAAATGAAATTAGTGTGTGGAATAAGAATGGCTTTGATAATTTAGCTGGCAAAAGACACGAAAAATCGTCGATTCTTTAGTATTTGAAGCAATTTGGAAATCGAAGCGGAATAGAATTTAACATTAGTAAATAATATAAAATAAATATTGAAAATTATAACGAGATAGTTAGTTTATAGATATATTATATCTAAATAAATAGATGTTATATGATTTTATCAAAGCAAGAATTGGCATTTAGAGGGCAAAGGAAACCTATTGAAACTAATAAGAGGTAATTATATTGAACTTGTTTATTTATCTGACGTACTTAATAAATAATCTATTAAAAATACATTTAAAGAAAAAATTAACTGATTGCCCCTGGAAGTCGGCTTCTTATAGAAACACAGCTTCCCTATCATCAAATGTCACCGCACGCCCCTGCAACGTAGCACAGTGATGAGTATTTACACACAACAGTGACTTGACCATGATCTCGGTGAGTGGTCATGAACTTTTCTGAGGATGAATTGGCTATGATAGCTATATGTTTGAGGAAGAAAAAAATGCAATCAAAAAAGTGCCGCAAGTGGATACATCAAGCATGGACAAAAATTATCAACAGAATGGGAGTTTCATATTCTTTATAAAAATTAATAGATGACGAATCTATATTTTTTTGAATATTTTCGAATGTCCCAATATGCATTTCCTATTTTATTAAATTAATTAAACAAAACAGAGAAAATATTCATTTTGTACCTAATGTCCATCTATTTAGAATGAGATAAATCAAATAGAACAGGGTGTTGATGCACCATTTCAATTAAATGTTCGTCATCCATTGGAAAACAAAATTTACCGTCAATGAAAATATCATTCCTGTCAAATGTACAGTACTTTCACGGTACGGTCACACCACTGCCATTGCACAGCACTGTGACGGACGAGTCTGGACAGGGTGGTTTAAAACTAGGTGAACGATTTCCCACAGGCAAAAATTCACTGCACTGTACTGGCACGTCACTGTTGTGTGTAAATGGACCCTTAAACTTTCCATATCTAGTCTTGACTTTCATCTAACTCCATTCTCAACAATAAGGAAGAATAGACAGCCATATCGACGATAGTGGGATTGTAGACGATAGGTCTACAATTTTTTTTTTTTTCAAATTGCAGCCCAAAAGCTCATAAACGTTGTCAATAATGTATATATTCCTCCCCTCCCTCAAAAATACTACATTTAGTCAAAAACACTCAAAAAATTATGCCTGAATCCATCATTTTTGGATTATGTACTTTCTATTTTTAGTCTTTTTCTTAGAAGTAGAAAATTGTATTAAAGTAAAACCAATCATTGTGCATAATTTAATATGTTATGTGTATTAATTACATAAATATTAGTTTTTAACTTAATAATTCTTCAAAAACAAAGTAATTTCGAGTATTTTATATATAGCCTATATATATATTAACAGAAAAATTGCTTATTTACGCGTTTTTGAAACAGCTCCTGCTTCACTTACTTTATTACTGTATAAAATAATGCTATTGTGTAGCATCTTACTTGTTGTGTACTGATAGAGATGTCGCCGAATAGTTACTGTATGATAACCATTATTAAAAATAAAAAATAATGCTTCCGATACCAGTTTTTAGATAATTTGCGAAATCTAAAACCGATTTTGCCCTAAGACGGTGCTTTTGATCCTGCATTTTCGCCCATGTAAGTCAAGAATTTTGTAAATACCTTTTATATATTAATCTATATAGTATTTTTGTATAATTAATCTGACAAAAAGTATTTAAAAAATCGAATTTTTAATAATGTTAGTTCCAGAAAAATCAATTTTCCTTCTTTTCTAATTTGACAATATATTCTAATGATAATTATGCTGATTATAAAATTTTGCGATAAGAAATTTCAGTTATATTCTACATTTTCAAGAGAAGGGCAGTTCATAAAAGTAGTTAATCACTTTAAAAGCTCTGACCAATACTTTTAAAACAATGAAATGTCTAGACGAATCTGTATATTAACTGTTTGTATAATCTTCATATAGTTAATTTTATAAAAAAAATAATTTAACATGAACCAGAGCCTAAATAGTGTAGTTACTGTATAGTTGTACTAGAAATGAACAACACAAAAATCATCCTGTGGTCATTTTAATTGATTACCAAATTTCACAGTATGAATAATACTCATTCCGTGAACATAAATATAATCATTATTATAATTTCGTAAAAAAGCAAGTATAAAAGCTTGATATGAAGACGAATGCAAAGTTCGTACACTCCTAGAAAATTACAATGATAAAAAATTGTGATAGCAAAATTTTGATCTTTTTTTTCAAAAAACTTGTTACAAAACATTTATAAAATATAAATCTGCTTACCATAAAATATTTCTACAAAAATGCTGTCAAAAATCTATATATTAATAGAAAATTTTTCCTAAAATGATGAATGGCACTTTAAAGTAGTCCTTAATAACAAAAAGGAACAACTATGTCCAGACTAGCAAAATACTTTGCAATTTAGGCTACTCATGCCATTCACTAAAATTGCCATCTAGATAATACATGGATTCATGTATGTTTTCTACTACAAATGGATGTGACCACAGCACAAATTACAAAGCTAAAAATTCTTTTCTCCATTCAGAATTCGGAGAGAAAATTTTTCATTTTCTAACATGGCTAAAATCATAGACATTGAGAGTTTTCACTCATTTTAAATAATTACATTAAAAATTCGTGTAAAATCAAAAATTTTCCATCAAAAATTTGAGTTGAATAGCCATGTAGAAAAGGACAGACATTTTTATTAAGCATTCCACATAACTAAATATAGAAAGATTTCAAAATTATGGCATGCAGAACAGTTACAGGAGCATCCAGTTCTCCATAAGTATGAAAAGAGTGAAGATCAAGTAGCTTTAGGCACAGCCTTTCTCCTGATCGATAACTGTAAAAAAAAAATTAATGAAATTAATGTTATTTCTTTTTTCTCTCTTTTTTAAAAAATTGAATTTAAATCACATTATTTCAAAATTTCATACAAAGTATTGAATTTTGCCCTTACACAATATATTTCCTCTGAAATGTAAAATCAGATTATTATATCAATTATATCATGTTATAGAATCATGTGCAGCTAATCACTGACAAAGAAATATGCAAAAATCAAAATAGTAACACACTCAAATCTCTAATAATGGCTACCTCTAAATAGCAGCCACTTTTTTCAGGAAAGTTAAAAATAAATGAATAAAAATGGCTGTTGTTCAGAGATTTGACTGTATAATGAAACACTTTGTACAAAACTGTCGAATTGAAACTGTAATATTTTGTATAAATTCATTTTATAATAAACAAACTAGAAAAGTTAAAAACTAACACTGATTTTATCATGCAATATGCCAAATCTGATAAATTTTGCATATACTGGCAAAAACTGGCATATATGAATATGCCAAATCAATGTACTGTACAGTACAAGTGAAATTACACAATAATTATATTTCCCACTTTATAATAACCATATTGCCTAAAAAATCTCTTTAGTCTTAAAAAAAAAAAAAAAAAACAATCAGCAGCATCTAAAGGTCCAAATAAGTTTAAGAGGAATTCATGGTTATATATAATTGTATAAAAAAAATTGAAAATATTTGTGTGTAGAACCTATAGTTATTAGCTTAAAACAAACTATTGTGTGTTCATTTGTTTTCCAGCCTTGTAAATGAAAAATTATAAATGGAAAAGAACTTGGTCAAATTGCAGAACAGAACAAATTGCAAATTTGCAGAACAATTTGACCAAGTCCTTCTTCAAGGAGGATTATGGATATATGTGTGAATAAAGTCAGAAGAGTGTTTTTAAGTCAAAATGAAGGACATGTTCTTTTGAATATCATATGTTAAGTTTTTGCTATTTTACATTATTTCTCTATTCCTCATTATGAACAAAGTTAATAATTTCAGCCAAACTAGTCTTAAATTAAAAATAAAAATGGAACATATGATATGTTGTTTTTGTTATGCAAATACTGTACTTTCAAAACATATTGTAATCATTAATTCTTTTTCTAATTTTTATTACAAAAATATGTATCCCTCCAACTTACAGCCATGTTTGAGGCATTGTTGGGCTTTCTCTGACTTAATGTTCCTGATACTAACAGTTTTGTGATGAGTTAACACTGACCTGGGATGTTGAACATGAACTCCTTTTGACAGGCATACATACATGAAAAAGGAGGCATTCTTATAGGAAGTCCAATAGTGGTAGCCCTTTTGCCAACTTGTAGTAAGGAAACTAGAAGCAATCTTTGAAGCAGAGTGGATTTTGTACTGGAGGTATGTTGATGATATCCTAATTATATAAAGAGCAAGCAGAAACATCTATAACTTAATTACTTCCATCAAAACTAACTTTAATGGCCTTCAGCTGAAACTGGAGCAAAAATGTAACAATTGGTCCTGTTAGATATTTTACTTACTTTGCATAATGGGTAAATATACAGTAGTGTGAACACAAAACTTCCTTCTATTCTTTTTACATATCAGCAACCTCCCACAATATGTTAATGTACTACAAGGTAGCAGCTTTTCAAGAACTGATTAAAAAAGGGCCTACTCCCATCGCATTATAGTAGTAGCTAAAGTAGTAGAACTAGCAAGAATCTCTGAGACTGCTTCTTATAACCAAGTATTAACTATTCATTGTGGTTATTCAGTTATTCAGACATTCTATTCCCTGAGTGAACTAAATAACTACAATTGACCAAAGAACTTTGTAACGTTAATGTGTGTGGCTACGATAAGTTCAATACAGGAGGAGTTAGTGGTATCATGCTACTCTAGACTGGTATATAAGTGAGATCTCAACATTTATCATTTGTTGCAGAACAATATGGACAAGATTCCAGAAAAGTGAAAAACCAGTTTATATACACCAGGTGAAATAGCAAAATAAGGGCAGATACAGCCTAAGTGGGTTACACAAATAGTAACTTTGTGCAGAGACTGTAAAAACAGATATGATGCAGGCACAGGTAAGAACAGCACAGCACTAGCCTTCTTTGCAAATGCAAAAATATACAGAAGTTTTATAGAATCAAGCTAGAATAATCAGAAATATCAGATCCCAAGTATGAAGCAACAGTATAGAAATATTCATGCAAAGTTAAAAGGATTATGCCTAAAATGTAAAAAATGAAAAAACCTCCCCATGACTTGGAAATTCTTACAAAGTAGCAATAAGAGTACAATTTAGATATCTACTGGGACCGATTTTTTTTTGTGTGTAGTTTACTTTCATTAGTTTGTATTAAGTGTATGTATATTAGATCTCTTAATGATGATTACTTGATTAATGATGATTTGTTGATGATGATTACTTGCTTAAGAGTTTAAGAATAAATGTTCCAAAATGATTATTTTAATTTTTTATAACTTTCAAATGATTATATTCTAAAAGTTGAATCCAGAAGATGATCTATGGATTAACTGAAAATATTAGATTTTGGTTGTTGCTTTAAAATCCATTTAATAAACAAAGCATATTTATTAGATGAATTTTATAGCAACAATCAAATTTTATTAGTGTGATATATTTGGTTGTTGTTCTTTAGTTCCTTGTCTATATAGTGTTTATTTAATTGTAACTAAAATATTAATTATTACAAATTGTTCTTAATACAGACTGCAAATTTATCAAAAAAAGTATTCTCTCACTTACTATTCAAGTTAAAAACAATAAAAAAAATTTATACCTTCTTTGGAAGGGAGTATATTTTTCTCTTGTGTCTGTGTATGCTTCAATTTAGCTATATCAAAACCTTCAATTCCCTGGAGTAATTCCTTCTGGCCTTTTTCTTGTTCAATTGCTGTTAAAAGAAAATTAGATATTAAAATTTTGTAAACATTTACTTTCACTCACTCGCACTCACACACTAAAGTAATTTAAATATATACTTTATTATTCATGTATATATATGTCTGTCATCATCCTTAAAATATTATTTGGTGTTATACTATCCATGAATTCATAATTTTAATCCATTGATCTCTCATTCAAAAGAATTTCATAAATTCTTAAGAATATTTTGTTCAGGTTTTAATCTAGAATTATTGATATTATATATATTTTTATTGCTTCTAAACAGCTAGAAACAAGTGAGAAAGGTTTTGTCTGGGTCATTTTAAATGTAGTCTGAAGAGGTCAATAATGCTGAAATATGTCCTTTCTAGTTTAAAAGCTGGAAAATTAT